ATTATTTTTATCAAATTATTAAAATAATAAATATTTTTGAATTTATCTTTAAATTAAGGATTTAGAAACAATTTCTATTATTACATATTTTATCCTTAAAAAAGAAATAAAAATAAAGAATCTTTTTAAGAATAATGATAAAAAGGACCAAATTTGAGATTAAAATTTAACTAATGTCACGTTGTTTAAAATATTAAAAAGTGGATCTTATATTATTTAATGATTGATTTTTTTTAGGACCTATGATATTGTAGATAATAATAAGGTTAAAGTAAAAAAATATATTTGTTTATCTTAAAAATTAAAAATAATAATTAATTCAAGACAAATTTGAAATTATAGTGATAATTATTTCTAAAAATTTAAATTAGGGATGTAGGGAGTACATTACTCCATTTGTCTCAAAATAATTATCGTTTTATAATTTCAAATTTGTCTTGAATTAAAATTTTTTTTTATTTTTTAAGATAAACAAATATATATTTTTACTTTAACCTTATTATTATCTATAATATCACAGGTCCTAAAAAAAGAATCAATCATTAAATAATATAAGATCCACTTTTTAATATTTTAAATACCATGACATTAGTTAAATTTTAGTTTCAAATTTTGATCACATTTATCATTATTCTTAAAAAAGTTCTCTATTTTTATTTCTTTTTTAAGGATAAAATATGTAATAATAGAAATTGTTTCTAAATCCTTAATTTAAAGATAAATTAAAAAATGTTTATTATTTTAAGATAGAGAAAATACATTTTTAAAATTTTTACATGTAAAAGATTTTTTAAAATTTTAATTCGATAAAAATAACATTATAATTTTAATTAATTAAAAAACTAAGCTAACAATCTTAATTATTTATCATTAGTTTTGATTAATTATAATTTAGTCCATTTAAGGACTTAGTTAGTAAATTGTATTGTGGAATGGTTTGAATATAAAATTTAATTGAAAATTTTGTGAAGTTTTTGGAGTTAAAGTGTAATTTTTCAAAATTGCATATACCACATAATTGGTGCCACATAAGCATCCCATAGGATTAAGTTAAAAACACTAATGGAAGTTTGTTAGATAGATGAATTTGAAATGATTTTGAAAGTTTATAGATGATTTTGAAATAAACTAAACTTTCTAAACTAAAATGAAAAGAGACTAATAGTTAGTAGATGAAAAATTAAATTTAACCAAATTTTCCTTTTTGTTTTCATTTTTTAGGGTAATCAGAGACATCTAGAAGCATCCATGAATATACAAAACCATCAGCAAAAGCTGGCACTAATAAAAAAAGGATGAAAAAAAATCAGCAGAAACTGGCAAGATGCACAGTTTTGCTTATCCCCTTTGAAAGAAAAATGCCAAGGTCATCCTCAATTTCATTTACTCAAATCTGATATGAAGCATAGAATGGAAAAGAATAGCTACATAATTGGACAGCATTTAAACACCATACAATCATTTTCATGCATCAACCATATAAAATATGACAAAAACATGCATCTCATAACTATTTGTGGAAAGAATAACAAACCTTGTCAGCGGCTGCTTGTAAGGTAACATGGTCCCCCCACTCACCAGATCTGCATGATGCAGTAAATTAAATATTAGATATTAAATATGAAATCCCTTACAATTTCAAGGTAAGTGCATTAATGGAAGGACACATTTGTTGCTGTGGATATAAATAAGGATCCATGAAAGAAGCAATGTACTTGGCCATTTTCTTGTAATATCGCTTGTACTTCATAGGAACATATCCTTCATACAAAGAATGGTGGTCTTTGAGCTGGAATGAGGAAAGGTGATACAAAATAAGAAAGTGAAAAGCAAAAGAACTAAACATCCATTATTTTCTTCTGAAAACTGTATATCAGCTTCAATTCTCAAATTAAGGTAAAACTTAACAAACAATCTTTGCGTCTAGAAGATTTAGGAGCAGTATTAGGAATCTTTCAGACTTGGATTTCAGTTCTCATAACCTGCATTACCAACAAGATCTGTAAAAAACCCTTTCAGACTTGGGATTCAGTTCTCCTATGCCAGTTAGCATTGCATCTAGCTGGCCACTAGACACTTTGTAGGAATCAGTGAAGGATACTTAGTTTTCTGGTTTTTTTTTTCAAGTTTTGGAATTGTAGCAGCCTTGATTCACAGTGCTGCCTCGTAATAATAGTTATTTTGGGTAATAAAATTCACATTTTACCCTTCTTTTTTTAAAAAAATAAAGAACAAGTATTGATGATAAACACAATGGTGATTATGGGCTTGGTACTTGTGGTCTAGGAAGAGATGTGTTGCAAAAATATGGGAGAGCATGCAAGTTGCCAAAGAGGTTATCATGATGCCACAGGTGGAGACAGTTGCAGGGACAGGAAGGCATCAAGATCTTGAACGTAATAGAGATAGCATATCATTTATCAAGCATCCTTCAGTTTGAGGGAAGAGTGGTATCATGATGCTGGATCCCAAAGATGGCAGAAATCATGTTTACTGGTGGAAT